ACGTTGATGGTGGGGAAGGCTGGCTGGTTGGGAGGGGCAGTACGTGGGAAGTCTCTGTGCTTGCCACTCAATTTGGCGGTGAACCTAAAACTACTCTAAAACATAAAGTGTGTGTGTGTGTGTGTGTGTGTGTGTGTGTGTGTGTGTGTATATATATTTTTTTTTTTTAAGAAGTGCTACAATTGATGTTGGCACAAAGAACTGCCACCATTTGATGCTTTATGGCTTTATGAACCACCTTGCTCTTTCTGAATTATAAAATGAAAAATACTCCATTAGACTAAAGTAAAATAAACCATGCATATCCACTGTGATACAGGAAAATTCTCTCCATGGGCTACTGGACCATATGTTGGCCAAGAGTAGAGCCAGGTGACCAAGAGAAATGTAGTCGAGTATGGGGGGGGGGAAAATCAGTGTTCAAAAATTAGTAACAAAAAAGGAAAACTCTAAATACTTTTTCCAAAATGAAAGAGATACAGATAAATTTACTCTTATCATCACCTTTTTTGTATCCATGGCCCAGATTTGGTTCATAATATTAAGGACCATAACAAAATTTACCAGTACAGAAAAAAAAAATTATGCATAGTCCCTTTCAAATAAAAGCATTCCCTAAAATTCAGTCATCTTATTACCATTATTAGCTTTTTTACATTTACATATTATTTACATGAACAAGATTTAGGACTATGTCCAAGGAATCAGTATTCATTAGTATTCTTTAATTATAGTTAAGTAGAGCAACTAGCAACTTCTAGAGCCATCTCAAAGGATAAAGTTGCTCTTAGCATCTTGTCATAGACTTTCCCCGTTGGAGTTGGGTGCCCCACACACAGAAACACAGAGCCAGGGTCCTGGTGTGGTAAAAAGACTTGCTCAAGGTCATATATCACATTCATAGCAGAGCCATTTATCAAAGAAGCAATAGGGCCACCATGCTATACCTAAGTGACCCATGTTGCACTGGGTTTAGATTACCTCATGTAAGCCAATGAACTGCCCTATGGAATAGGCACCCTTAGTAGCCCCACTTTTTAGATAAGTCACAGTGGCTTAAAGAAGCTACTAACATGCCCAAGGTCACACAGTGGGCCAGGAGTTAGAGCCATGATTCAAAACAGGCCTTAAGAGGGAGATGGAGCCACGAAAGAGCACACAGAAGACGGGTAGTTTGAGCAGGGCTGGGCACAGCGCTCGGCCACAAGGAGGGTGGGGCAATTATGGGATGGAACACTCCCCCCAGCTTGTCTTTGTTGTTCATGATAAGGATGTAAAATCCCCCTTGGCTGAGAGTTGCTGCAAAGATGCGTGCTGTTCAGATAATGCTGCACACCAGAAGCCGGTGCAGAATGAGGTATTCTCCACAGGTAAGGAGCAGGGTGGCCAAGGGGCGGGAACGGTCAGATGGGCGGTCATTCCGTGGAGGAACCACAGTCTGGAGCTTTGGACACCGGCCCTGTTCCAGGCCAGAAGCTGTCACTTATTAGCTATGTGACCAGGGACAAATCACCTCATTTCTCGAAACCTGTTTCCTCAACTATAAAATGAAAGTATTAGCATCTGTCCAGAAGGCTGTTGTGATGATTAAAAACAGACCATGCAGGCAAGGCGACCTCATCCTTAACATTATTACTGCGACATCCCTTCTTATGTTCCCTACGGCTTTCCAGCACCTAGCACCTTCAGAGTTCTCAGGAAATATTTGTTGAATTAAAGATTAAACATAATAAAATGTATAAGCAAGTTAAACTGTTCATCTACTAAAGATCAAAACTCAAGGAACATTTCAAACACTACAGCAGTGACTAGAAATGTAGACATCTCTTTCTTATCCTACCCATTTCCTGTATCTAGCTAAGAAATTCTCCCAGACTGAAGGGAGGAACACCTGTCTCTCCCAGCCAATCTATTTATTTTAAATAAGGCTTTTGAACACACAATAGCACCGATTTTCTCTAGTGATTCATAATAGCTTTTTTTTTTTTTTTTTTTTTTTAGCTGAGCCATCCTGCTACCTATTGGCAGCTCAGCGGCTGCTCAGCTCGGGCTGACTCGAACCGCTGTTGCTCAGAGCTCAAACTCTTGAGCGAGCTCTTAACCAACTGAGCCACTCGGCCGGCCCCCATAATAGCTATTGATTGGGGCTTTCTATGCACTGTTTCATTTTGTTTTCACAATAACCATTTGAAGTAGACACTACTGTTATAGTCCTATTATACATTACATCTTAATTAATTATATTGTTTTATAAATGCAGCTGAAGTGCCGAGAGTTAAGTGAGTCACAAGCTCTGCATTGTACAGAAGAAGAAATAAAGTTTCTAAGCAAGTACATAACTATTCCCAAGGTTACCAGCTTAACAGTGGTCAGAGCCCGGAATAGAGAAACGCAGGTAGTTTGACTGTCAAGCCATAACCACATTTCGATTCTGGGTGCTTAGGTCAGACCTGCTACCTCCAGTTTGGCCTACCAACCAAGAATCTTCAAAGATATAGAATTTAAAAGAACGTACTGAATATTAAGATAATCAGACCTTGGCAGCGAATGACATTGTTGTACAAGTTTCCCAAGGAAATTAGCAGAACACTCATCTTTGGAGTCATTCAGGGCCACAGTCCATGAGGCACCCAAGATTATATGATAGCAGTGACTGGTGCTGGCCCACTGAACAAAATAAATTCTTCCTCGATCATGATTCCACGGCTATGGCAGACAGGCTGCAAAACCTGTGACTCTGTTTTACCTCTGCTCCCATCCAGCCTGGCCTATGCTACTTCTCTCACGTGCACCGGAAAAAGGCCCACATTCACCTTCCATAACCTGCCTGGCAATTTAAGTCATCAGCAGCACCAGCAGTATGACCTCTAGTTCTAGGAAAAGGGGAGGAGTCACTCATTTGCTCTCCCTGTTCAAACCATCCTAAAATCCCCTGCTACTTCGCCTTCTGCAAACCATCATCATGAAATCACCGTGAGAGAATAGGAAGGCTTTCTAGTCTAGCAGACCCCACCCCCAGATTCATTCCCTCACTCCAACTTTGAATGAGGGTCTCTTTGCCTGGTCCTGCGTTAAGTGTCAGAGACGCATGAATGAGTTGGACAGCATGTTGTGGAAGGGGACCTCAAGGAGGTATGATGACTACTGGAGCATGGAGCAAAGGCATTTTGAGAGTGCTCCCTGTTCACTCATTCACTCCCAGCCTTCCGTTTAATTGTCATGAGTGCCCAATATGAACCACCTACCTTTCCCCTCTACCTCCTCCAAAGAGCAGCATAAGTGGCACTTCTCAGGGAACCCTTCTCTGACTCAGATGGAGAGATTCTCCCACATACTCCCTGTACATATCCTTCATTGTACCTATCACAGCTGTCATGAAATCACTTCTTGCGAATTTCTTTTTGGTAGTTATCTGTCTTACCTACTGGAAGGTAAGTTACACTGAAGACAAAAACTATGGATCTGGTTTACCTATGTCAGGCACTGGGAAGATAGGATCCTTCTAGTTACGTAAGTGCTTTGTGCATATATGTTACATCTATTCTCCCATCATTATTTGCCCCTTCATTTTCTCATCTGATTGCTCCAATGGGAGTACTCCAATTCAACCCACACACACATCTGCCTTATTTTGAATACCTACCAACCATCAGAATGTATCAGGGCTGTTTTTTTTACTACAATCTGTCCTCTTGTAGGAGGGAAATTGGTTTCCCCTTAAACACAAGCTCAGGGGCAAGGGACTGTCTCTCAAGGCTTTTGTTTGCTTTTGACTTCTGTGTGTTCTGGTACCTAGGTGAGGACTCAGCACCCTTTACCCCTTCATGAAGAACTTAGTACCCTGTTGTGATTGCATGTGGGGACACTAACCCTTTTTGCATCTACTCTGCTGATGAAATTGCTGTATTTGTTCAATCAGTTGTTTTTTTTCAGTAAATTCAGGAAAAGGAAATAAAAGCTTTCTGTACATAGTCTAGGCCTGTTTCTTGCAGAGCTCCTTGTAAACGCTTCCAAACATGTCACTGCCCTACATGAAGCAAGCTCAGTCCACTTAGCGGAAATGGAAACAGCACACGACACCAAAATCACCCAAGTATACATACACATTCTGGATCAGGCTTGTCTCCCTCTGCTTTTTTGTGCAATGAGAACCACGATACATTAAGGCCTCCCACTCTAGGGGAAAATGGTCTCACTGCTCCTTGAGCTCCCTATAACCTTCAGCATTCAACTTTCCTCCTACTTAAGGTTCTCACAGGAATCTGTTGACTAAGCTCAGGCTTTTGAACCTCGCAGGACTGTGGTAGCGGCTTCAGGGGCTGGCTTTGGGACCTCCCAAATGCCAGTCCCAGATGCCACATCTGATCCTTTTATCCATTATTGGCACCTGCATCCCTTATCATGACAACAGTGCCACGTGATCACATTGGCCCATCTTCTGCAATTCAATTACTCACTGAGCCCGTTCCCTTTGTCCGGGACTCTGAAACCACCTAAGACGCAACATGGATTACTGATCTTCATCCCCGAACACCCCAGCAGATTCCAAAATGTGAATGTGCTTTGCAGCAACCTTTGCATGGATTCTGAAACATCAATGTGTATTCACAATTTATGTTCATGAGACATTTTCTTTAATGAACACTGATAGCCTAGAAGTAATGGGTGATTCATTCTCACACAGTAAATGCAGGGAAGGCTTTCAGTCACTAAGTGAATTCATCAAATATTTGCTAAGCAATGAAAAGATGATACACACTAACAGTGTGTGTGTATATATATATATTTATATAAATATATTTATATAAATATAGCAGGTAAGTTGAGTAGCTTGGATTTGGACCAAAAATGGCAGAAAAAGGTATGTAAGTGGGAAAAAAAATTATATATACATTATAAAAATTCAATTAACACCAATAGATGGTTTATTGGAAACCCTCATAGCATTTTTCAAAAGGACTTGACAGATTTTATTTTAATAAGACATAGTGAAGAGGAAATGGTTTAAAAGATATCATCAATCTTTTATTTAACTAAGCAATGCCCTTCATTTTGAAGGAAATGATACAATTTCAAATCAGTACCTCCTTCTCAAGAAGTGGTATGAGAACATAACATTGATTTAACATACAATCAACAAAAATAAAGTTTACACAATTCACTGGGAAATAAAAATACATGTGGAATTTATGTTAGTGTAATTCTCCGTGAGTTACAAGTATTACAGCTAAGAACAAAACAACAGAACGAAACATTGAATAACCAGTCAAGTGTTAGTTAACCCTGATTAAAAAAAAAAATTCATAAATAAAATATAACTTTCCAAAGAAATCCATTCAGTGACCATGATCACACTAAATTTTATGCTAATTTATAAAAAATGGTTAGACAATCACATAATATCAAGAGTCTTCAACACAGTGGATTCCATTTTGTTAAGAAAAAAATAGAAAACAAGTAGTCCTTAAGTTTTCTTCACTCTCCATAGCATATGTCGTATAAAATTAAAGTTTTGCTTCCAAAAATATGTTTCCATGTGGCTGTAGTGTTGTCTAGTAGTGCTATTAGGGCCAGAAGCACCAAAGACATGAGAAGTTTAACCGCTGAAGGGTCATTTTTCATAAAAACTAAAAATTTCCGTAAAGGTCTGGAGTCAAGTCCTCTGCTAGGCATGTTAGTGCTATAAAGTTATTTTAAATTAAATGTGGAAGAACTACAAAAAGTTGTGTTCTTTCAATACAAAAAGTTGTGTCGCTGAAGTTGTGGGCTCCTCTGACATACATAAGCAGTCTCAATAAAATAGTTGCTCAAGTAAGAAAATAGAATTTGTCTGATTACATTTAGCGTACGTTCCGGTCAGGTGCCCTGCTTATCCCTGCCAGACCTTTGGAAGAACATTAGAAGTGTTATTTCTTTCCTTCAAAGAGCATCCGTAATTCACAGTACAAAATAACTCTAAAGTCTTAATCCTAAGGAGAAACAAAATCATTAAATATAAATATATTTTGTAAAGTGCCAGATGTCGCCATTGCCTGGCATTAAAAACTCATTTGTCCACAACACTGCCATCTTGAGGAAAGAGCCAAGAGTTGTTTCGGTTCTCCTTTTCTTGGCACCTTCACTGGTTGGTTGGTGCTCCACTTGAAGCTTGATAACCCTAAGAAAACTTCCAGTGGAATTACTGTCCCTAAGTATTACGCATTTCACATCTCTGGTAACCTGTGAAAAACACTTGTTTTAAATGGGAAAGCAGGGTCTGGAGTACATCTATTCCCTCTTCTAGGTCATTTTCAAGCCCAGTTATCCAAAACCTCTTCTCTAGAGGCAGGATGCTACTGTCGGTGTAGATCTTACAGTTCTTCCTTCACACTGAGACTTCTTACAAAAAGCCGATCATTTGCAACAGCAGGTAGGCACTGTTCTGCCTCAGTATGACCAATGACATTCACTTTCCATTTGAGGGCAAAGGAGGGTGACAGAGATGGGGGAGTGGGAAAGCGTTGGCTAGCTAGCCCAGATGTGCTGGGCGGTGCCGTTTTGCTCTTCTTCGTTCCTGCTGTCTGCACATTGGTCATTCCTTTCCATTTCCACTACTGTGTTAAGCGTAAAAGAGAATCCAAATCTGCAGGTATAGCCGGCTCTCCTTATGTCTTTACCCATGTTTATCTCACTCCACTTTTCCATGAGCAAAAGAAAATAAACACAAGGCAGTGAGATTCACTAAACTAGACCTACATTTCCAGGAGGAGACTGATGTTTCTCCAAAGTCGCAGACTGGGGCTGGGTGTGGTTCATCTTTAACAAACACAATGACAGGACTTCTTTGGTGATCCCTATACAAACAGGAGACACAGCTAATGCCCTTGTAATGAAATGATGTCATGTTGAGGTGCTATGGAGGCTTTTAAAAATGGCCTCGATTCCCAAGTTTGAAAAAAAGTATACAAGAAAATCCTTCAAGTCCTGTTGCCTTTGTTTAGACATCTCTAGGCAGAAAGCCCAAGGATGACCACGGCTGTAGAACACTCAAGTATGATTCTACTCCAGCTCTAAGATTTAGGTCACAACATGACTTGTTCAGTGCTATCGCTAATGACTCCCGAGAGAAAGAGAAACTTGACTCAACTTTTGAGACAGCAGTAGCAGGGCGGTGTGCAGCAGAGGTGCATTCTGAAATCGAGGCCACACATCATTAAAGAGCTCACGTGAATACAAGGGATCAGTGGTAACATTTTTTAAAAGTCTCATTGGAAAGCAAATAGTAGCTCAGCAGCAGAACCAAATAGTACCAGCAAGCCTGCTGCCAACAGATCCCACCAACACCAACCTGTGCTTCAGGGCTGTCACCACATTCAGCACTGACTACATCAGGTGGCATTTGTAATGGCCATCACCTCTCGTAATTGAGCAAGCATTCTGAAGGGGTGTTCTCCAAGCAACAAGGAGGCTGCTGCACTATAACAAGACTTTGCAGCTTGAATTAAGTGTGCATCAGGTGTGGCTATCAAAATACTTATTGAAATATGCCTCAAGCCTAAGATTTTACCAGCAGCAGAACAAAAGTGAGAGGGATGGGGCAGTGAGGGAAAATTAAAATTCACAGGACCACCACCAAAGCCTTACATTTTAAAAAGGTTACCTTCGCTGTTCAGGAATGGGGTTCACTGGGGAGTGGGAGGGATTGACTAATTCCTGCCAGGGCAACCCTGTTTGGCTGCTTCTGTAGTGTATACTTTAGGAGTGGCACCTGCCAACCCCGTGTGGGACTGAGGATGAACACAGCCAAGCGGGTGTAATTAGATCAGAGACACAAAGGGCTAGCTAGTCCCTCCTTTGATAATAAATAACATAGCTGTTAAGTGCCCACAATAACAGGCAAGAAACAAAGGTGGCCAAACAGCACCATCACTGAATCCTTCCCCTAGCTGGTCCATGACAATGATTTACTTGCAACCTGGAAAGTGGTGGATGGATGGAGGAGGAAGCAAGAGACTCAGCTAGAAGCCAGCTCCAGAAGATGAATTACTGGGGGATTCGGAGGGGGGAAGTAGCAAAGTCTTTGTTTTGTAGCCCAAATTTACTCAACTATTTGTTACACTTCACAGGCGGCTGTTTGCTTTTGGTCTGCTGCTCCCAGACCTGGTCCTGGTTTCTCCAGTCTTGCACCCAGGAATCCCATAAAATAAATCACCCCGGCCTCCAGGATCCCACACGCAGCTCCACTGGGGTAGCAGACAAGCGGCTCTCTGCGCTTGCCTGGCGCCTCAGCAAACCCACTCTGGCCTTAGTACAGGGCATCCTTCAAGCCCAGGGTAGGAGGGAAGCAGGAAGGGGGCAATGGCAGGTGTTGATACTTGGAACTTTTCTCCACCCCCGCGTGCAAAGGAAGAGTCAATTTTGGACCCAGGTCCAGCAGGGATTAAGTGTCAGGCGCGACCACAGTTTGCCCCATCTCAGAAAGGAAGGCAGATTGAGGGCAGGCAGGTGTGCCCCCAATCAAAGCGCTCCTACCTGTTCCCTCTTCCTCCTCTGTCCCAGATAGCATGCTCAAGCCACAGCTGGCTGCGCATTTCGCCAACTCTCGGTTTTCCAAACGGCCCAGGAGCCCAGATGGGGCCCAGAAGATGGTGGAGGAGTGAGATGAGGGAGAGAGCAGCGGCTGCTGCAAACAGCTACCTCTCACCGCTCTGCACTCCGCTCGCGGGTCAGTGCACGACCGCCTCTCGGTCCTCCTCACCCCGGCCCGGCGCAGGGGGGCGCTCGAGAGGCGGCGTAGTCCGCGCGGTGTCGCTGTCGCCCTCTTCGGGCTCCGCCGGATGCAGGTGCATGGCGAGCTCCTGCAGCACCGCTGCGCGCCCTATCTGGTCGTTGCGCCGCTTCTCCATGATCAGGTCCTCCAGGCTCTGGAACTCGAGCGTGTGGCTGCGCTGCGCAGAGAGCTGGATCTGCAGCCGATAGGGCTGCTTGCCGATGCGCAGCTCGCCGCCGATCTTGAACTCGCGCTTGCCATAGCGGCACCAGGCGGCGAAGCTCTCAGAGTTGCGCCAGCTCAGCTCGCGCTCCTTGGCGCCCACGTGCGCTAGTGCGTTGCGCACCACCGCGCTGGGGCTCAGCGGCTTGTAGCGGTACAGATCGTTCACCACACGGCCGCGCCGGCCCTGGCTTGCGTCCGTCAGGAAGCTGTTGCTCACCTCCAGCCGGTGCAAGTGCACCACCTGGAAGTTGCCCACGTACACTGCCCAGTGCGGGTACTGCGCCTGCGACACGAACTCCACCAGGTCGCCAGGCTTGCACTTGTTGAGCAGGTTCTCAGGCGTGTAGGTGCTTAGCACCGCGGAGCCCGGCGCGAAGCTTTTCTGGTAGATGCACTCGTCGCGGTAGAACACGGAACACTCCACCTCGAGCAGCCGCGGGTCGTAGGGCTGGGGTGGGGGCAGTGGCAGCCCGTCCCCGCGGCCAGGCAAGCCACTGCCATCTGGCCCCTGGGGCGGCGGCTGCGTCTCCACGTCCTCGTCGTCATTGGAGAAGATGTAGGAGACCCCAATGCGAGGCCCGTCGTCCCGGTCCACGCCCGTCGGGTCGGCGGTGGGAACTTCCTTATAACTTAGGTGGGTCAGTTTCTCCACCTGGTTGCCCATCACGCTGCGGACACACGTTCACACCGCCGCAAGGGGAGAAAGAGAAAGCACCACTAGGGTCATTGGCACGGGTCCCCGGACAGGGGCTGAGACCACCTGTTGGGAGAGGAAGGCAAGGACTGTATAGGAGCCTCTCCGTGTAAAGGATGATTTGTTAAGAGGAAGAAAGGATCGGGTCGAGCACCTGGGAGTCATTCTACGGGGAGTCTCGGATGTAGTGAGCCTTCCCACATTTCTCCACCTCTAGGGTCACGGTCACAGGAGGCCAGGCAACTCCAGCTCTCCCCCGCCCCCAGCCCTTCATCTCACTCCGGCAAAAGCCCATTGCATCAGCAGCTCCTACCGCTTCCGCCAGCGCCCTACCTGCCAAGCCCAGGCAGGAGAGGGAAAGGAAGAGAAACTTTACTACAGTCCCTAAATTCCTAACTCCCCTTTCTCCTTGGGGCCCTTAAGCTGGTCCCTGAGACCCCCCACCCCACCCCACCCCCTACCCCCGCCTCCTTCCCCGAGGAAACCGGCGAGGATCGCGTAGCACGGTCCGAGCAGGTGAGCCACCCTACCTGGCTCACCTGCGTCGCTTTTTCCTCCAGTCTGGCCCGTCCCTCCCCCGCGCGCCGGCCCTCTAGCTCGGGTTACCTGCGCAAACTCACCCGCCGAGAGGTGGAGGCCCTGGGAAACGGGGAGGGGCCCCTGGCCGCACCCCGAGACTTCTAGGGTGACTTTGCAGGTGTGGGCTCCTCAGTTCCTCCTCTCCTGACGCGGGCGGCAGCGAAGCTGGACAGGGGGGAGCGACGCATGTCTTGCCCCCTTGGCTACGTAGAGCCCAAAGACTTGAAGGTGGGGGGCAATGCCGCTTCACCCCACACCTCCTCCCTCGCGCTGAGTCTACTGCTCCCCGTTCAACCGGCTCTCGGGGAAGGTGGGACACGAAAAGAAGGAGAAGGAGCAGACCGGCTGCCGGGCGGTCGCAGCTCCTGCTCAGGCTGGGCGAGCAACAAGCGCCGGAGCGGGAGGGACGGGATTGTAGATCCGGCTCCGGGCTTCCCGGGCGGGAGAGCAGCCCCTGGCATTTAAAGAGACAGGCGCACGCTCCCGAAGCCTGGGTCTTTCCCACACGGCGCAGAGCCTCCGGGGTCCCCGCCCCGGCCCCGCCCACCCCGACCGAGGGGCTCCACCCAGGCCACGCCCCCACGCTGGAGCCGGTTTAAATCCCGCTGGTAAATAATCTACAGGCTGGCTGGGCTGGCAGTCTGACCGCAGGTGTCAACCCCGGCCACTGGGGAACCTCGCTAACCTTCTTAGAGCAAGGGCCTGCTGTGGGGCCCTCACTGCTTGCTCAATTCGCATTTTTCCGAGCTGCGCGCTTTAAAAAGTTGGAAGGCAAACACCACCTGACAGGATACAGATGAGAGAGGGAATAAGAGTTTGCTGTTTGTTTCCTTTCTCCTTCGCCCCTTTTTTTGCCACAGTACCTGGAGAGGGAGAAAGTCATTAGGAAACAGACTTATTGTCTTTCTTCGAACGTATTTCTTGCCAATGATCACAGAAAAAAATTTTTTTACTGGGACGGCTCGAGAAGTGCGTCAGTTTAAAGGTATTTCCAGAGTGAGTGCTGTGAAATTTTGGAGTAGGAAAAAACATTCACAGAAAGGAAACAGTATAAAACAGAAAGACTTACTTACTGGCTTTCTTCCCAGACCTGCGTTCTGTTTATTAGATGTCCCTTGAAGCTAGCACAAAGTGGATTTCATAACCTCCATTGTTTCGAGTTACTAGTTGGTCTGTTAGTGAGAGGAAGCATACAGCTCTGGTTGTTTTTCTTGAGGGTAGGGGAGGTAGGAATTGCTTAATTGTCCTTAAATTAAGAACAAATTAGCAGAGGCCCTGTTGGATATATTTCCTTCCTGCTGATTTGCAGCAGGAAGTGACAGGAGAGAGTATTGCCTATTAACCTCCACCTCAAGAGGACACTTCCTCCCTCTGCCCTCCAGGCTGGTTTCGTTTTTTTAGTACCGAAGATGTAGGCTACCAAGTGTTCTTTCATTGTTTAAAAAAAAAAAAAAATCATAGATGTTTGTCGGGGTGGAAGTCTGACAATAGACAAGCTTGATGGAATTAAGAATGCAACTCAAGACCTTCCCCTACCCTATTTTCCATTGCTGTTTCTTTGGACAAAGTTTTTCCAAGTAACACTATTACTTATTCAGTGTGATACCAACCAGTGGAAACAAATATACTAACACTACTGCGATCCTTTTCGGTTTGAGAAAAAAGCAATAAATCTACTATGTACTTTTGAGTCTGAACAATCAATATTGGCAGGGCTGTGATAGTAGGTAGTCCTTCAAGCAAGTTTGAGATCACAGTATGTTAGACCAAACAAGAGACTTCTATGGGCCTGCTGTGCAGATTACATTTAAACATTGTCAGACCAGCCTTAGGAAATTGTGACCAGATGAGCCCCCACCCAATACCTTTTGATCTTTTGATAACACATACTCTGGGAGCTGCTGTTACCTGAATGGTATTTGTCGTTACCATGTGAACTCATGTAGGTACCCAATTAGCAGGGAGGAGTTAGGCTTAGAAAGGCAAAGGCTAATCATCCCATGTCTGTGAGACCGGGAAACCTTTGCTTCTATCAGCCATGGGAGGCCCCTGGGTAGGTTGGCTGGTGATGGGAGAACTCCTACAAGGACGTAGTATGACAGTTTGCAGCCATCACTCTGGGGCAAACCACTGTGAAAAATAATATAAACAGAGCCACTTCAAAATAGAATCAGAGCTGTCATCCCAAAGGAACTGCCTTGCAGTCTTACTCCACAAACCTTCAGAATGTTAAAACGGGGCCAAATAACCTTTGGACTGGGCCTATAGCAACACTGTCTTCCTAACAACTGTTTGTCAGGACTATTGGACTGAAGGTTAAAGACCTTCTTTAGAATTAGAATCACTATGTTAGCTTATCTGCACCTATGGACATTCCTTCTTTCTATTTATGTGATTGTAGTTCCAGAGGGGGGGAAGCTTTGGGGTTGTAAGTTTGTCACTCTGGCTGCCCTGTGAAAAATGGACTGTAAAGGGATGAGAGCGGAGGCAGGTCCCCATGGAGGGCCAGGCTGTGGCGAGGAAAGGCACTCCACACAGATGGAGCCTAGTGACCAAGAGACAAAGCCCCTGAAGGCACCTTCCCCAAGACCAGCCACAGTAAGGAAAATGTCAGTTGGATCTGAATTCTCAGCCCTATTGTAACTTTATCCCCCCATCAGTGACCCAAGTGTCACATCCCACATACCTCCTCAGAGAAGGCACTCAATAAAAGCAAGCTGTGTGAAATGCCAGTTAGCGACTCTCACAGTATTCCTGCCCAGGACCATGGGGAATCATGGAAAAGTGACATTTCTACCTGATGAGACGTGGGCACTGGCTGCACATGTGCAGTAGAGGTCTTGGTTTAGATGATTAGCTCCAAGAATGTACAAAACAGGAGCACGAGGGCAGCATTATGTGATTAGGCAACCTGGAACTCTGCCTATTCCCTGGGCTCGGCCCCAGGCTCATGGCAGCAGCAGACAGCTGAGTGAGTTTTCTTGGAAACTGGTTCCGACATACCTCCCTTATACTGGGAAACTAGACTTACCTGCGCCTGTTACCCACCACCGGGGTTTTGTGGAGACCTCAGGAAGGGAGAGGTGGAAGAATAGAATCAGATGACTCAGGTTGGAGTCCTGTGTGCCAAGTGCATGACCTTGGAGCTGTCTTTTTTCTACTCCGGGCCTCCTTTCCCAGCCTTTAAAGTGGAGCAGTTGATACTTCTGGCCTCACTGAGAATCCTCCAATGAGGCAGTGTCTGGGGGAGCACCTTGTAAATCCTAGAGGTGGTATAGATGCCAGGTATTATTTACACGCCATGTAAGAGCCAGATGATGGTTTCAATATGCGGGCAAAACCACCACCACGTGTGGTGGGCATCCTCTTACTAAATCATACCAACCCCGTTTTTTACATTCCTAGATAAGAATACAAAAGCCCAGCCGTGTGACTCTTGCCTATTGTAAGTGGGAGAAGCTGGATTCAAGTCCCCATCTGCCTGGCTCCATGCTATGTCATGTCACCCTGCCTCAGGGGCACCAGCATATGTGTTTGTTCATCTGAGGACCAGGGGGCTGGGAGGCCTTCGGGATGGACAGTGACCAGCTTGTCCTGGTTTGCCTGGAACTATTCCAGTCTGGCACCAACAGCCCCATATCCTAGGCAAACTGGGACAGCTGGCTGCCCTACCTGGCTGCCTTCTATCCTGGTCATTGCCCTCCCTGACCAAGAGCTTCATGGACTCAGAGCTGAGGATGTTGCTGGGGGTGGAGCAGAGAAGAGGCGAACAGAAGAATCAGGTGGTTTTGTCCACGTCTCACCCTCGCAAGGGGCCTCCATTTTCATTACCAGGTTATGCATATAGCAGCAGCAGCAGCGTAACCAGGACCAGCCAATACAAGAGACAATAACTGTTGGAACCAGCTTTGGGCATTTTTTTCCTTTTTCTTTATTAATTGTACTCTTCATGTAAGAGGTGAGGGTTGGGCCTGTCTCCCCTGTGAGAGGGGCTGTCCTGCAGCTGCTCTCTCCACCTTCCCAGCCGGCCTGGCTTGGGCTTGGGCTGCATGACTCCTAGACCTTCAGATTAAGGAAGGGAACCCAGAGGCTTCTGAGTGGCATCCTTTACTTTGGTTTCTGTATTTTATCTGCTTTCCCCCTCAGATCACCAGAGCAGGCTCTCTCAAGTGGGCTGGGCCAGAGCTAGTCTGACCTATAGGTGAGGGTGATGGGGGGCTGCCCTGAGAAGGGGACTGAGGCTGTCACCCACCCCAGACCATCAGCCCTCCGTGCATTAATCTCATGGCTAAATTGTGAGGCAGCTTTTAAAACCTTTCCTGGGAAAGGGCTCACATGGGGGAAAGCACCGAGTCCAGTCTCTCCCAGAGGCTCGCTGTTCCAGGAGGCCCCTGACACACTCTTGCTGATGTTGAACCAGAGTTTGATTTGTGCTCCTGAGTCTGAGCATGTAGCTAGCTCCTGCAGAAGCATCATGAAAGATGCATTCCACCAGGCGGTTCCTGGGGAGAGGCCGGCTTCAATTACCGCTTGAGAAATCCAAATATTGGCATATCTGCAAATCCAAATGTAGGGATTTCAAGAAAAAAAATCTCAATTCTAAGAATCTTCTTTTGCATTTCTTGTGCAAGAAGGGGAGGATAAAACCGAGAAGAAACAAGGCCGTGCATAATGGTAGAAACTTGGGCAGCGCAAACTCAACCTCCGTTTCTTTCCTCCGGCATTCTTTATGCTTCCAGGAAGAACAGCTCCCACGTGAGGGAGGAAGACAGCATTTGTTCAGCACAGCTTTCTGCAGGACAGATTAGGCGGAGCACCAACCCCGCGCCCCCTGCCCCCCAAGTATTTGGGGCACAGTGCTCAACAAATCTGGTTGGCCAATTTCTGCCTGCTTTTCCCCAAACCACTTCTAGGCCTGGGGCCAACGGAACCCCATGGAGCACTCACCCCCTGTAGTCTATTCACAACACAGCAGCCCCAGCAATCCTGTGAGGCTATGAGCCAAGCCAGGCCACTCCTCTCCTCAAATCCTCCATGGCCCCCCGTCTCCCTTGGAGAAGGCCAATGGCCCCAAAACAGCCCTCAGGGCCCAGGTCTGCATTCCCTCGTTACCTCTGACACCCCCTCACTCACACCTCCCGTCGTCTCACAGGCCTCTTGTTGTTCTTCCCCATGGCGAGCACGCTTCACTCTCAGGGCCTTAACATTTCCTGGCCCTTCGTCCTGGAACACTTTCCCCCCAGATATCTTCACTGCATGCGCTTTAAGCCTTGACTCAGATGTTAGCTTCTTGGTGAGCCTTCTCTGACCACCCAATTTAAACGTCCAAATGTCCTGTCATACATACACTTAATCATCATCCCTGCTCTATTTCTCTATCACTTAATCGATTCACTGAGCACCTTTCAGTATCCTGTATGATTTATTAACTTATTTTTGTTTGTCGTCTCTCCCAATTAGACTGTCAGCTCGATGAAGTCAGGGATCCTTGTTCACTGAGGTATCCCCAGCTCTTAGACCGGTACTTGACACATGCTAGGCTAATAAGTTGTAGTTATATGAAAACACAGAAGGGCTTTTCATGGGTCACCTCTGTTCATCCTCAGAATAGCTTTATGGTATAGGATTAACTCTCAATGTAAAGATGGAAAAATTAATTATAAGATTCACTAAATACTGGTGGTGTGCCAGGCACGGTACTAGGCAGCTGAGCTTCAGAGTGGTTAAGAAGGTGGGCCC